TCGGGGGGGGGGGGGGGGGGGGGGCGCTACATAAAAGGACAATAAGCAAGTAAACCAAATAAAGAAGACAATTTTAGATGGTAATATGTGCCAGGACGAGGAAGGGGAAGGAGGTCTTGCTACTTTTGACCAGGAGTCAGAGACAAAGTCTCTGAGGTGGCATTTGGCCTGAGACTTGAATGAGAAGGAGCTAGCCATGCCAAGAGTCATTTGACAAGTCAATATCAACTGCCTGCTGTGTGCCAGGCACTGTCACAGAAGCTGGGGACCCAGCCAGCTACATAGCAGACCCTGCCCTCAGGGACCTTACATTCTAGTGAGGGATACAGATCCTAATAGTAAACAAATCTTCCTATATAATAAAAGGCTAATATGCAAATTGTCCCCTCGGAAGTTCGACTGCCTGCTATGATGTGCACTGACCACCAGGGGGTAGTGTGGAACGAACAAAGGCCCTGATCGCCAGCCAGGCCTGGGGACCCTACCCGTGCTCAAATTTCATGCACCAGGCCTCTAGTAGATTTATAATAAAACTAGAGGCCTGGTGCACGAAATTCGTGCATGGCGGGGGGGAGGGGCGTTTTCTCAGCCCGGCCTGCACAATCTGGGACCCCTTGGGTAGTGTCCCTAGGCCTGGCCAGCGATCAGGGCCTTCGGGGCTTTCCTTCCCTTGGCTGCCAGCAGCTGGCCTTGCCCCCGCTGCTGCCACTGCTTGCCATCTGTGTGGTGCTGTCTCCTCCCTCCCCGCCACTGGTCGCCACCCTCTGCAGGCGACAGGCATGGAGTGCGATTGCTTGGCTGGCCTGGGCCTCCTTCTGTGGGGTGATTGCTGGCTGGCCCTGCACACCCGCCACAGCGTCGCTGGCTGGTGGCCTGGGCCTCCCTCTGTGGGCCCCCCAGATCGCAGGGCCCCTAGATTGATCTCCCTGCAGAGGGAGGCCCTGCCCACCCACCGCAGCACCTCCAGCCAGGTAGCCTGGGCCTCCCTCTTTGGAGCAATCGCTCACCCGGCCGGGGCTCTGCGATCAATCGCTGTACAGAGGGTAGCCTGGGCCTCCCTTTTTGGGGCAATCGCAGATCCCCCCCACCCCCAAATTGATTGCCTTGCCTGGGCCTCCCCCTGCAGGGTGATCATGGGGTGATGGTGGGGCCCCCAGACCAATCGCATTGTACCCACCTTGGCTGGCCTGGCACCGGTGTGTGTCATAGTGCGGTCGCCCTGATGGTCTGCTGTTAGGTCGTTCAGTCGATTTGCATATTACACTTTTATTATTATAGATGTCTGACAGTGATAAGTGCTAGGAAGAAGAATAAAGCAGGGTAAATGACAGTGACAAGACCACTACTTTGGGATATCTGGAAAAACCTCTTGAATGAGGTAACATCTGAGTAGAGACATGCATGAAGTAAGGGAGCTAGCTAAGTGGATATTGGGGGGAAGAATGTTCTAAGTAGAGGGGAGCACAAGAACAAAGGCCTCAAGATGGGAGCTTACATCCTGAGCCCTGAAGCTTCAAGAAGGGAGGCCAGTGGGCTAGAGGGCAGTGAGCAAGGGAGAGAGTGATATGAGAGGAACTTGGAGAGGTAACCAAAAGTCAGGTTTTTTTGGATGAAAGTAAGGACTTTGGATTTTCACTTAAATGTTAGGGGATTCACCATATGGTTTTGAGCCAGGGAGTGGAGTGATCTGATTTATGTCTCTAAAGCAGCGGTTCTGAACCTTCTGGCCCTTTAAATACAGTTCTCGTGTTGTGACCCCCAGCCATAAAATTATTTTTGTTGCTGCTTCATAACTGTAATGTTGCTACTGTTATGAATCGTAATGTAAATATCTGATATGCAGGATGGTCTTAGGCGACCCCTGTGAAAGGGTCGTTTGACCGCCAAAGGAGTCGCGACCCACAGGTTGAGAATCACTGCATTAGGAGGACCTTGTAGGTGCCCTCCAGCCTGAGGGTATCAAACTAGATGAAGAAACCAGATGAGGAGAGGGGGGCCATGTGGGCAGACAGTCATGTGCAAACTAAAAAAAACAATTAGAAGCTAGAATCTACTGGCTGGCTGGTTACGGGATTGAATGTGGGAGTTGGGTGAGGCAGAGGGAGATTAAGATGAAGTCGTTCCTTTATTGAACAATTATTTACAGAGCCCCTCTGGCCAGACACTGCTCTAGAGAGACTATCTGGGTTCAAATCCTGGCCATCAATTGCTAGCTGTTTGCCTTAGGGAAATTATTTAGCCTCTCTCTGCCTTGATCTCTTCATCTGTAAACTGAGGATCCCAAAAACACCCAAGGAGCCCTGGCCAGGTAGCTTAGCTGGTTGGAGCATCATCCTGATACACCAAGGTTGCTGGTTTGATCCCTGGTTGGGGCACATACAAGGATCAACCAATGAATGCATAAGTAAGTGTAATAACAAATCAATCTCTCTAAGAATCAATCATTAAATGTTTTTTTTTTTAAAAAGAACACCCAAGCCCTGACTGGTTTGGTTCAGTGGATGAAGCGTCGGCCTGCGGACTGAAGAACACCCAAGCCCTAGCCAGTTTGGCTCAGTGGATAGAACATCAGCCTGTGGACTGAAGAGTCCCGGGTTCGATTCCTGTCAAGGGCACATGTCCGGGTTACGGGCTGGATCCCCAGTGGGGAGCATGCAAGAGGCAGCCGATCAATGATTCTCTATCATTGATGTTTCTATCTCTCTCTCTCCCTCCCTCCCCCTTCCTCTCTGAAATCAATTTAAAAATATTTTTTTAAAAAGAACACCCGCCCTAGCCGGTCTGGCTCAGTGGATAGAGCGGCGGCCTGTAGACTCAAGGGTCCCAGGTTCGATTCCGGTCAAGGGCATATACCTTGGTTGCGGGCACATCCCCAGTAGGGAGTGTGCAGGAGGCAGCTGATCGATGTTTCTCTCTCATCGATGTTTCTAACTCTCTATCCCTCTCCCTTCCTCTCTGTAAAAAATCAATAAAATATTTTTTTTTTTTAAAAAAAAAGGACTCAAAAGATGTATTGAATAGTCACATGATTCTTACACAACTCAAAAAATATTTAACTTCATTTATAACTTAAAATATTCAGTTTTAAAGGTGTAAAACTAATTATATTGGAACCAGAGTAAAAAAAAAGAGACCCCCTCCCAATTTATGTTGCAATGCATATTTTTAAAGGGAGAGAGTGATATGAGAGGAACTTGGAGAGGTAACCAAAAGTCAGGTTTTTGGGGATGAAAGTAAGGACTTTGGACTTTCACTTAAATGTTAGGGGATTCATCAGATGGTTTTGAGCCAGGGAGTGGAGTGGTCTGATTTATGTCTCTAAAGCAGCGGTTCTCAACCTGTGGGTCACGACCCCTTTGGGGGTCGAAGGACCCTATCACAGGGGCTTACATCCTGAGCCCTGAAGCTTCAAGAAGGGAGGCCAGTGGGCTAGAGGGCAGTGAGCAAGGGAGAGAGTGATATGAGAGGAACTTGGAGAGGTAACCAAAAGTCAGGTTTTTGGGGATGAAAGTAAGGACTTTGGACTTTCACTTAAATGTTAGGGGATTCATCAGATGGTTTTGAGCCAGGGAGTGGAGTGGTCTGATTTATGTCTCTAAAGCAGCGGTTCTCAACCTGTGGGTCACGACCCCTTTGGGGGTCGAAGGACCCTATCACAGGGGTCGCCTAAATACATCCTGCATATCAGATATTTACATTACGATTCATAACAGTAGCAAAATTACAGTTATGAAGTAGCAATGAAAATAATTTTATGGTTGGGTGTGACCACAACATGAGGAACTGTACTAAAGGGTCTCGGCATTAGGAAGGTTGAGAACCACTGCTCTAAAGGATCACTTTGGCTGCTGTGTGGATAACTGATTTTAGAAAGGGGCTAGAGTGGAAGGTCAGAGCCCAATTAGGAGGAGTTGTTGTAGGCCAAGTGCAAGATGAGAATGGCTTGGACTTCAGGTGGTTCTGATTAAGGTGTAAGAAGTGGCTGGATTCAGTAAACATTTTGAAGGAAGATCTAGAAAGATGGTACATGCAGAGGAAATAGCATGTGCAAAGACCCTGAGGGGGAACAAAACATTAGAAATCTTCCTTTTTTTATTCCATTTAATTTGCCTATATATTTTTTTAGCCTAATTTGTTGTGCTTGCCTTATACTTGAGCTACTAAAGGCTAGGGTTTAGAGTACTCAGCAACATTGCATGCTCTTAGGTGTTTAGTTTAAAAAAAAAAAGGAGGGGGGTTGAAGACTAGAAAAACCAGTAAGAGGAAAAAACATCCTCCTCAGATTTATGGGTCCCTTCTTGGCTTACAGACTCTTTTGTGAGAACCACAGCAGCTTGCCTGAAAAGACAAAGTGCCTTCCCTCCATCAAACAGATAGTGGCAGAATCCAGATTGCTTGTCCACAGAGCCTTTAAAATATGCTCATGTCCAGGCTCTACATTTACATCAGAATCTCTGGAGATGTGCCTAGGCCTTGGGTTTTTGGGGTTTTTTTCCCCTCTCTTTTAATTTCCCAGGTGGTTCTAATGTGCAGACAGGGCTGAGAACCTCTGTGTGGGCTATAGTGTGCTCCATCCTCTGTGAAAAGGATTTGAAAGAACAAATCTAAGGGAGGACATAGTAGTTATTTCTCTAGTCTTTAGACATTCTCCTTAGAAGAGACTGTAGGCCTGGATGTCTGAAAGATTTCATTTGTTCCTTTTAAATTTTCAGATCTTCCTTAATGTCACAGCTGACCTGAACTGTAACCTGTTCTCTAAAGAGCAGAGGGAACACATAACCACTCTTTGCCCCAATGTCAAAAGAATGGAGGGCTCCGATGGAATTGAGAAGGTGTGTGGTGACTTCAGAGATATTGAAAAAATACATGGCTTCTTGAGTGAGCAACTCCTAAAAAGTGAGCAGAAACAGGAATCAGCCCCTTTGACAACAGAGAGGGAGCCACTCCATCAGCAGGACCAGAACAGCTGTGTTTCTCCCTCTGAACCAAGAACAAAGTCAGAAGGAAAAGGCAGTTGTTACACAGTTCCCTTGCCTTTATTTGAATACTTCAAAAATATCTACCCTGAAAAAATAAACTCGATAGAGAAAAGATTTGGTGTAAAAATAAAAAGCCAGGAGAGTTCTCCGAATATGGTCTCCTTTTACTTCACCTCAAGTCAATCAGGTGACCTCAGAGCAGCCGAAGAAACTTTTTTCAGTGAATTTCAGAGAAGCATAGGAAATATGAAGCTGGAATGTGTGGCATTAGCAGACAAGAAGCAGGCAAATAAAGTCAATCAGGGATTTTATCATCACCTTAAAAAGCTTTTTATAAAGGAGGACGAAGGAGAATTACCTCTCCCTGTGACCCAAGATGACATTTCAGCTGACGGACATTTTCTTGTCCCCCAAATCTCTGAAAGTCTTGTCAAGGTACCTGTGAAAATATTGCTTCCTGCGTGCATGACGAATGGAATTGAGGTTGACACGGCTCACTATAAGTTTTTAGAAGCTGAATTAGTCCAGGAGATATCAGAGATAGAAAAAAAGTACAACACTCAAAGTAAGATTTTGGGGAAAGGTCATAGAACCTGCATTCTATTTGAACCTAAGGACAAGGAGTTAGATCTGTCTGTGCATGCTTATGCAAGTTTCATTGATGCCTATCAGCATGTTTCTTGTCAGCTGATGAGGGAAGTTGTTCCTTTGGCCAAGGAGAGAAAGGACTTATATGGGATCAAGTTTGCTGATAACTTTAAAAAAAGGCATCCAGGTGTAGACTTTGTGCTAACTCAAGGATCAATTACTTTTATTGGATTGCCAAATCACATCGCAAAGGCAAAACAATATGTCTTAAAAACAGGGGGGATGTCCCCATTAGCTGGAGAGAAATCCAGTGAGGATCATGAAACACCCATGGACGTTGATAGTAATGATTCAGAAACATTTTTACCAACATCCCAGCACTCTGCCAGTTCTGGGGCATCAGGAATGAACAAGGAAGAGGATATGTGTGTCATCTGTATGGAGCCCATTAATAACAAGTTAGTGCTACAAAAGTGCAAGCACAAATTCTGCACCCCTTGTATCACCGAAGCCATGACATATAAGCCAGTCTGTCCTGTGTGCCAGACTGTTTATGGTGTCCAGAAAGGGAACCAGCCAGAGGGAACGATGTCTGTCAATTATGTAAGAGATTCGCTTCCAGGTTATGAAACCTATGGCTCCATCGTGATTAATTACAATATGAGAGGAGGCATACAAACAGTAAGTGTTTCTGAGATCCCTCTGTTTCTTTCCAGTGTGCTAGGATGACCAATGCAAAAGAGACTGCTGTTGCCAATTAGTGGATTTCCCAGGGACTTATTTCTATGGTCATATTTCTAAGGCTTTAAGTAGTGATGAAGTTAACAGTGTTAGCTTAGAACTTACCTTTTGTGTCTGTTAAGGGAGAGGAAGGGTGGGTGGTGATTATGGGTTAGGGTGGATGGTATTCCCAGCATGAATTTAGGGAAAGAGGAAAAATATGAATTATTGGGAATATGAGCAAAATTTCTATACTTTTTTTTATTTACTCTATCTGCAGATGAACACATCTATCCTGTACAGTAAAATTTAGACTCGTGAGTGTTTTCATGTGACATTGTTTTGTCTTCACACAGGAAGAGCACCCAAACCCAGGAAAGCCATATTCTGGAACAAAGCGAACTGCATTCTTGCCTAATAACAAGGAAGGAAATGAGGTTTTGACACTGCTTAAAAAGGCCTTTGCCCAAAAGCTAATTTTCACAGTGGGGGATTCTCGAGTTTCAGGAATGTCAAACGTCACTACATGGAATGATATCCACCACAAAACCTCCATGATCGGGGGACCAGAAATGTGAGAACATTTTGAAATACAATGATTGCCAAACAGAGTTTAGAGGTTGTAAGCTATGGCAATTTGAGGATATGGCTGTAAGGGACTATTTATAGAAGTGGGATTGGGTACAGCATTTTGAGAGAGGTTAATCTCAAAGGCAGAAAGATTGGTTCCCATCACCTTCTAACTGTATGATACCACAAAGTATCATACATCGAAAGGCAAGGGTCTTCAGAATCCAAGATCAATGATATCTCAGATGACTTGATTTGAGGTTTCCTGTTTATTTGAAGGGTAGATCCTAAGATTGTTATTTACTTTGCCTTCTTTTAAGATCATCCTTACACCCCCTCCTCCCATCGGTCCATAGAGATTCTTAATTTACTTGGCTAATAGTACCCTAGAAATGCTCTTATTTAATGTTGTGAAAATTGTATTGTAGGCAACCCAATTGTTCTTAGTGAAATTCAGATAGAATATCTCAGATCCTTAATATTCAAAAGGGTCCTGAGATTTTTGCAAATTCTCCAAATTTGAAAATCCTCCAGTAGCATATATACCATATATATATATATACATATACATACATACATATATATATACATATACATACATACATATATATGTATTTATATAATAAAATATATAAT